CGCCCAGCCGAGACTCACTAGCTTTTTAGGAATTGGCTTTCAAATATTATTTGTTTCATTCAATTTTTATGATTTTTATTTCTGCTATTCTCCTCCCTTTCCTAACCCAGATATGTATGTACATTTGGGAAATACTCCAAAGGCTAGAACTACAAATACCTTAAATAATACCGCCTAATTGTTTTCAGAAATCTGATAAACAGAAAGATTTGAACAGCATTGAACAAAGCAAATTCTAGGTGGTCTTGAAACACTATGTTCCCTCTAAATATATAAACTGAAAGTGACTCTTCTAGTAAATAATGTTTAATTCTTTGTCTAAAGATTGCTGCTCGCTGAAAACTTTAGTCGTCGAATCTCACAAGCATATGGTCTGATGAATGAGCTGTTGTCTGAATCAGTACAACTACCGAAACCATTGCCTAACAAACCCAGCACAACTCAACCGTCCAGATGGCAACGCTGCCCTTCTCCAAGAGGGTAAGGCAAGGGTTGGCATATCATTTGGCCAGATCACATCGGGCCTAATAAGAAGGAACATAGCACTTTTCTGACCCAAGTTCAGTGTATTTGCATCTACCCTGCTTAGAGTTATGATGATAAAGTGAAGAAAAAATAGCCCCATAATTAGGTCTGTGTATGTCGATAGAATCACCAAGGAAAAAGGCAAAAATAATACTAAATCTCTAACCAAGCTAGCAAAGCACTTCAGCATACCTGAAATATGAAATTTCTTAATATCTGTTGATTCCTGTTTCCTTTGCCTTAGTGTTTGGTTAATATTTGCTTCTGGAATTTGCCTTGTAACTGCTCTCCTTGTTTCTCCACTTGGCATAGTCACTCTTGCAGAAACAACCAGTCCCCATCATTTCTCCTTCTGCTACCCCTCCCCTGCCCAGTTATGCTCATTGTAGATATTATTATGTATTTCACCTTCATCACCTGCAGAGGACTTGGATATGAGTTCATTAGGCAGGAATTAATGAAACAGAATGCCAAAGGCTTTTAGTGTACCCATCAAGAGAATGGTGTACATTGTACCTGATAGGTAAATATTTATCCCTCACCCCCCTCCTTAGTTTCCAGTGTCCATTACACCACTTTATAACTGTGCATTCCCATCATTTAGTTCCCACTTATAAGTGAGAACATGTGTTGTTTGCTTTTCCATTCCTGGGGTACTTATTTAGGATAATGGTCTCCAGTTCTGTCCATGTTGCTACAAAAGATATTATTTCATTCCTTTCTGTGGCTGAGTAGTGCTCCATGTGTGTGTGTATATGTGTGTATGTATGTATATGTAAGTACACACACACGCTACATCTTTCTTATCTACTCATCCGTTGATGGGCACTTAGGTTGATTCCCTATCTTTGCTATTGTGAATTTTGCTGCAATAAACATACGGATGCAAGTGTCTTTTATGTAAAATGACTTCATTTCCTTTGGGTAGATGCCTGGTAGTGGGATTGCTGGATCGAATGGTAGATCTGCTTTTAGTCTTTGAGGCATCTCCATTCTGTTTGCCACAGAGGTTGTAATAATTTACAGTTCCACCAACAGTATTTAAGGGTTCTTTTTTCCACCACATCCACACCAACATCTGTTATTTTCTGATTTTTTAATAATGGCCATCCTAATTGGGGTAAAGTGGTATCAAATTGTGGATGGACTTTTTTTTTTTTAAGAGACAGGGTCTCATTATGTTGCCCAGGCTGGAGTACAGTGGCTATTCTCAGGTGCAATCATAGCACACTACAGCCTCAAACTCCTGGGAACAAGCAATCCTCCCACCTCAGCCTCCCCAGTAGCTGGGACTAGAGGTGTGCACTGCTAAGCCCAGCTTAATTTGAGCTTTTTAAAATATTAAAGTGTATCCCTGATACGAGATTCTAAGGATATAATAATTTATGTAATTTTTATTTTAGAGAGAATCAACATGGTCACAACTGTCCATTAAATCGACCTAGAAAAGTCAGATATATAACCAAACCAAGTTGTACCCATAAGGGAAAACCTTCTGGGCAACCTCAAGGCTCACCTTGGTCACGTGGTAAGATTTAAAGCTTTTTATCATGTGTGATTTGCACCTATTCCTTCTTCAAAGTTGTGTTTTCGTTAGTAAAAGCTATAAATCTTAGTAAAAAAGGAATTCTTCTTTCAACAGAACATAAGGGATTGATAAAGACTTGGCTGTACTGGGATTTTGTGTTGCTGTGAAATAAAAAGGCCCTAGGAATCTTTTTAACCTAATGGCCTTTAGAATTTGAAGTCAGTGAATTAGATACAACTTGTTCAGGAGTCTGTTTCCTTTTTATGTCTGGCTAAAGATGTTGTACAAATCAAGTTCTGATAGATTGCAGAATGGATATATCACGGAAGAGGAAAGCTAAGAAGCTCAGATTGAAATAATATCATGTTTTAAACCTTTAAACATTCTTTTCCACATTTGAAGATATATTTATTTATTGCTAGCCTTTCTTTAGTTAATTTTGCTATATTTGGGTTTTGATTACTAAAGTAAAGTATAGTTATTTATAAAATGATTATAAATTAAAAATGTATAATAATAGCTGACATAGAAATGCATGCAGTTAAAAAATGTCTAACAATAACTAACTCATGTGCCAGATGCTGTTTAAGCTCTTTAATTACAACCTTTGGGAGATAGGTGCTATTATGTTCCCATTTTAAAGATGAGGGAACCAAGGCAGAGAAAGCTTAAATAACTGCCTAAGATCAGATAGCTAGGAAGTGGTAAAGCCAGTATTTAATCCCAGGCTGGATTACTTAGAACCAACACTTGAGTATGCTGACGCAATTTAGAAAATTGAAACTTCCAGAAATTCTAGTCCTTTAGATAAAACTCAAGTTTGGTTAACTCTTGGTGTTTGATTACAAAAGCAAATACTGCTCTTTTTAAATTAAAATTTCAAAAGAGTAAACCATGCTTTCTTTTCTTTTGTTTTTTAAATTTTATTTTACACCTGATATATTTGCCAGAATTAAATAAAAGAATATCTAAATTTGCCAAGGTTTTAAAAACCTGAACCATGGTTTCTTAATATCTGATGAAAAAGGCTTGGATTATGTGAAGATATGCCTTTCTCTTGTATCTGTCCAATTTCAGGCCTTAATTTTTACCTTGCACTTTCACCACTTTGACTGTTGTAGCTACAGTCCATCCTTCTCGTCTCACCTGCCTATGCTGGATTAGACTTGATGAGTTTTTCCTGCTACTGTTTGGCTCAGAAGCCCTTAGTAACTCTCACACCCACTGAGATACATTTAGACCCTCTACCAGGCCTTCAGGGCATCCTCCGCGTGTTCCCCTTCTGCCTCTGAGCCTGGCTTCCCCATATAATCTGTGCGCGAAACAGCTTGCTTTCCACTTACATGCATGCTTTTGTGCTCCCGTTCCTCAGTTGAAATTCTCCCTTATATTTTGAAAGTCTCACTTCTGTGTCTTTGAAGACATCCCTAATCTTCTTTAGTTCTTCCAACGTGATATGTAATCAGTTTTAAATTCTACATTCTCATTTCTAAATTGAGGGTAATACTTAACGTGCTTGGTTGCTGTGAATATTATAGATAAATGGTGGCTAAAGCGGTTATTGGTTTGTCTTTGAACCCTTAACCACGTTTATGTCCTTCTTTCAAGCTTCAGCACTACAACAACAGGTCTTATGTTGTAATGACTCATATTCTTTTTGCCCTATACTAGATTAAATTCTTTGGGCATAGCGACATTCTCTTACTAATTTTTGTGTTACTTCTCACATTGAACAAATGAGAAACACTTGAATAATTTGATTTTATTTAACTGTTTTGCCTAAAAACAGCTATTTGTAGACAAAGTATTTTTCAAGGATATTAATGTGTGGACATTAGAGTATTCATACCATATCAGAGAACAATACCATATACCTGGCTTTATAGCTAAGCTGTCACTTAGCTTCCCTAGACCTTTAAGGCATAGATAAAAGAGGCAACTTTAGCGACTTATGGATATACCGACTTCTCTGCCTGCCTCAGTAGTGCAGGCTCTGGCTTCCCTGGTTCTTGTGGCCTCTACATGCCCAGAACCCAAACATTTCACTTACATTTGAAAGTTTGGCCCCCCCAGTACTGGGGGGGAATAGGAGAAAAACTCAGACATGACTGATCCCAGGCCTTTTCCCAGTCAAGGAGATGGATAACCTGAACTCCAGGTTAGGACAAGTTCAGTCTTTGTACACATGGGGACGTGAGGCTCCATCAAGATTTTAAAATTCTCTGACATTCATTTGTAAAAGAACTGTTTTTCTGGACACACTTGTGAGTTTGACTGTATGTTGCTATTTATTTGGTAAAGCAGCAGTGTGCGGTTTCTGGCTAATTTCTTCAGCAATGCTTGCAAATCATTAGCAGTCCTTTTTTTGCTTACTTGTGCTCAGTTCTATCAAAAACAATATAAAGCTCATATGATTAGTAACCAAGAAGCATCATAGGTGTAAGAAAAGAAAGGTTTAGGTTTTAGAATCATCCAGACCTAGGTTCATATCCAAGCTCTGCTGCTTACTTTGTTCCATCAGATAGGTTATTTAAAACCTACCCATAGAGTTGTTGAGGATTATAGTAAAACATTTGCATAACATAGATAGCAAATGGTTGCTTTTAACCTTTAAGAAACCTTATTTAATCATCCTGTTGATAAAATTTAACTTGGTGTTTTGTCTAGGTGTTTACTGCTAGTAGGCTTATTATGTCCTTGGCTTTTCCAGTTGCCAGAGATTTTGTCAAAACACATTTGCCATTTAAAAAAGTACCATGGTTGTGCCCTAAGGATACCAAGTCTCAAAGTAGAGTTTTCCTTTCTTCTGCACTTTTGTTTTATTTTCTTCATTCAAATAACCCACCAGTTACTAGGCCCTGCTGTGAGTAAAGCTTGGTGAGCAGTGTCAGAGCTGATCGGGAGAACATTTCTGTCCTCAACTTACAATATGATATGTGAAAAATCATGAGTACATACAGAAGGTTACAAAATTGTGTGTCTGTATAGGAACTGCCACTTTTACCATACAGAAAAAAGCTGGTGGAGCCAAAGCAGCAGTAAGAAAGGCTGTGCAGTCTCCAGTTACCTTCCAAAAAGGTAAGGGATAAATAAAGAATAGGAAGTTCTTAGATTTAATACTACATTTTAAAAAATCATAAATTAGTCTTAGAATTGCAGGGTGTGGCTGCGTACTGCAATGGTTCAGAGACAAGACTTTGGAATTGCTTTTTGGAATCCTAGTTCACCAGTTACTCCGTAACCTTGAGCAAATTTGTAACCCGTTTATGTAAGCCTTAATTTTCCCACCTATGAAATAGATTATAATAGTGAGGCTGTATGTAACAACCCTGGTAAGTAGGCAGGGCAAGTATTATCCCCGTATCACAGCTAAGGAAACCAAGGCTTAGAGAAGTTAAGTGACCTGCTCAGATCTCCTTAGAACAATAAATACAGTAGCTAACAGTTATAGAACACTTACTCTATGCCAAGCATTGTTAACACCTTATGTACATTATCTCACTTAATCCTCACATAAATCCAGTGAGGTCTTGGAGCTATCACCATTTAAAGAAAAGGACTAAATTTGGTAGGGATTATGATGAAGAGAAAGCACTGGTTTATATGTACTAGTAAAATGATGAAAAATGTGAAGTAATTAGCCTAGTCCTGCTATTCCTTTCACCATTGCTACTTCCTTTCTTTGAAGATCCATCTTTCCGTTTAGCACATCTCTCTTCAGCTATGTCGAATCTGCTATTTAACTCGGCTATCAAGTTTTTAATGTCAGTGGATACATTTTCTAGAAGGTGTATTTTGTTCTTTTTCTATTCTTTTCCCCATGTATGAATTAAAACCCAGGCTTCTAGTAATTAGGATTAATTTGAATCCTATAAGCATCATTTCCTGTGCTTTTAATTTTATAATACCAAGCTAGTTTTTTTTCCCTCCTTCAAAGTCTCTTATTTCATCTTCTGTAAAATATTTTCTAGTTTAGAGTACTCAGTAGCTTTTTTATTCTTTTCTAAGCAAATATCTAGCAGTGTCTAATTCAACAGATAAAATGCTCCAAAATACAATGTGGCCTTCCAAAACAGTTGAAATTATTTGTACATTTATATTATTGTTTTTGAAAGCTCTAGAGATTCAGGGTTTTGTTTTTTTCAAGTGGATTATGATCTAATATGAAGCTTTGTCCATAGAAAGCCCTCAGTTATTGTCCAAGAAATTGTGTATGGCTCCAGGTTTCTAGCTTGAATACTTAGCTAGACTGTGGCCCCCTAATTGACACGAGTAGGGCAAGAGGAGGAGCAGAGTTTCCTTTTTGGGGTGGTAGAGGTAATGGGTTTAGTTTTATTCAGTTTCCGATTTCTCAGGCTAGACTATGTAGATGGTTTGGCAATATGTTGTGAAGAAACCGAGGGGCAGTAACTACTGCCCTACAGAGAAAGAGCACTTGCTCTCTGAGGGAAGCCAGTGTACTTGCCAGCTCAGTTTCTACTGTGGTGTTTCTTCTTGATACATCACTTACCTTTCTTTCACCTTAGAAAGCTTTTACCATCCACATTGGGGCAGCTTGAAAAGCTTTTACATATGCTCAGTTTCACGGAATTCTTCTCATATTGTATTTTTATCTCAAGATTGGATATCCCGAATAAATCCTAGAGAAATGCATTATGATCTGAAGAGAATGAAATTACAGAGCCATCCCTGGGTAAAGCAAGGTGGGAGAAAGCCAGTGATAGCCTCTGAAGATTTGTAGATACCCCACGGGGGAAGGTTTATCCTAAAACGCGGGACTGTTACCTTAATTTCAGCAGACTTGGTGGTGGTTTGAGTTTTGTCATTCTTTCCAGATGGCAATAATTATGCTCATTTGACAAAATAAGAGTGCTAAAGCTTAGATACCAAATTAATTGTAGTAGAGAGGAAGTAGGATTAGTTGGTGTTTGCTAATCTCTTGTTATATCCTGAATACTAGAAGGAACAACTTCAGCACCTTGCTGCCAACTAGGAAGCCTACTCTTGTGTTTATATTGCTTATCCACCTTTTGGTTTCTCTCTCAGTCTCATTTTTTCTGTGTTTTAACCACTACTTACTCTTCCACAATGTGTGTTCACATAAACATTCCTGTTGTCTGCTCCTAGATTTTTTTTTCAAAAAACTTTTCAAAATTTGTTTCTTATTAATATTTACTGAAATTATTTTAACATGGAACTTTCAGTGGCATCTCAAGATACTCGGTGATGTCTTTAAGTGGCAGAAAAAAAGTCAAACCTTTTTCAACTAGAGCACAGTTCTCAATTGGCTGTTAAGGTGTCAGGTGCTACCAAATGATGTTAACTTTGTTGGCTTTCAGACTCTTGGGGCTAGTCAAAAGAAAAGTCCCTAAGCCCTCTTGCACTGCTGTGCCCCACCCGCTTTGGCACTAATCCAGGAAGAAGCTTTTAGAAAGCTGCTGCCTTGAGGATCTAAGTAAATAGATCCTTCCTCTTTTACTTACAGATATGAAGAGTATCTTAAGGGCGCTCTGAGTACTATTCTCCCTTCACCCTAAAGAGTAGAAAGTTAATACATTAGTTCAGGATCTAGGGGTAGATCATCTCTACCATCTTGGGCAAATTACATAGCCTCTCTAAGCCTCACTTTCCTCATTTTTAAAATGGGGATAATAACACTTTCCGCATATGATTGTCATGAAGAGTATTCATTCAGCAACCATCCATTGAGCTCCTTCTACATACCAGTCATGAACAACACAGACAGTAGCACATAAATAAGGGAGAGTGTGGCTGGTTAGGTGGAGCTACTTTAGCAAGAGTGGTTAAAGGTCTCTTTGAGAAGGTGATGTTGGAGTGAAGATCTTGAATGATAAAAGGGGAGTGTTATGTAAAAGTATGACAGCAGTTCCAGGCGGAAAGAATAGTCAGTTCAAAGTCCTGATACACAAACAAATTTGGTATGACAGAAAAGATCACTGTAGAACAGTGGCCCAGAGATACGGCTAGATACTGTAGGCTAAGGCAAGGAGTTGGATTTTACCCTGGATCCACTGAGATTCCATTCAAGGGAATTCAGCAGGAAGACAATATAATTTATATTTTAGAATATGTGGGGGGAAAAGAAGAAGGCAGATAAGAAGAGAGATTGCTTGGGCTAAGGTTGTAACACTGGAAATGGGAATCATTAGATTTGGGATATGTTTTGGTTTTTTTAGTTTTTGTCTTTTTTTAATCTATTTTTAAAATTTCTTATTTATTTTTTTGGGGGGGATATATTTTGAAGATAGACCAAATTAGGACTTGCTGATGGATTGGGTGTAGTATATATAAGAAAGAAGAATGAAGAACAAGTGGATTTTACCTGGGAATTTCCTGGGATGAGGAAGTTTAGGGGCAAAAATTAACAGTTTGGTTTTGGACATGTTAAAGTTCAGATGTTTATTGTACATCCAGTAAAGGTGTCAAAAAGGCAGTCAGCTCTATGAAGCTGGAGGTGCAGGTTTGAGAGAGCTGTCAACATGTGGATCATACGTAAAACCATAGACCTACATGAGGTCAGCTGGGAAGAGTTGAGGTGTGTTAGAGGACCCAAAGACCAGGCCCAGGGCACCCTGGTAGATTAGTTTAAGGGGCTGAATGTAGGTAAAACACCTAGCCCATACTAAATGCCAAAATGTGTGCTGTTATTGTTTTAGTGGGCTTATTTTTTAGAGGTATTCTCAAGTACAGAACATTGGTAGAGTCATAAAATACCAGATGGGTCCAAAGTTCTGCACTTTTCCCTCTTTTCCCCTTCTTGAGGGAGTCACATGTCTGCTTATTGGGGACCTGTGTTTACTTCCCATCTTACCCCATGTGTTGGGTGTTTCTTCTGGAGGTTACCTTGGTGAGGGGTAGAACATACTGTAACATTGACTTTGGAACATTAAGTGTGTTAGACGGGGGACGTTCCTCTTACAGCCTTGTGTAGAGAAGCCTTATTGGTTAAAGGGTTTGCTAAGCTGCCTGGAGACACTAGCTAGAATGAAAGTTTGTTTTCAACAAATACTGATACAGTAAGGAAGAAAGGGCGATAATACGTTGTCACCATACTTACTAACCTTACGCCCGTGCCCAAAGGCAGATTGTAGGCATGAAACCTAGGTGAAGATGCCTAAAACATTGCTCCTAGGAAATTTCCACAAAATTTTCCATAAAAGGCAAGAAAAATCTAGCTCTCCGAGTTCACGCATCTTTGAAGTCAAGACTTCTCCACAGTTCCGTTGTATCTGTGGCCTCTCTTCCCTAGACTTTTTTGTCCTAGAGATTAATTACCATCACTTTCCAAATCCAAAGAAGGCCAGATTCAATTTCTACCTCACACACTGACGGAACAGAAATTGTTAGAACCCTAAAGTGAACTACATCCAGATTTGATTTAAATATTAGGTAAAATGTGATTGCCTTGGCTTTGATGACAAAAGTCACAGTAAATTAACAAATGAATGAATGAGTCAGTCCCAATGTGTGCTTTGTTCTTATCCCTTAAAAGGCTCTAATGCTCCATGTCGAAGTTGGCAGCATACAAAAAAGCGTGGATGTGCTGGGCTTGTACCTCAAACCAAGCAGGAGTGTGTAGAGTATGAGAGAGAGGAGACTGTGGTGAGTCCCTGGATGTTACCCTCAGAAATCCGTAAGATCCTCCATGAGAGTCACAATTCCCTTCTACAAGTAAGCATTGTTCCAGATTTTAATTTGTCTCGTGATTGTTCTGTGTTCTTCAGTGTCTTTTGTTTGTGTTTTTGGCATATGTAGAAATACTGAAAGATTGTTAGGTCAGTTTGAAATAGTAATTCAAAGCGTCTACCCTTTTGGCTTAGTTATCCAATGTTTATCTTTCAGAATTCTCCTTGACTTTGTATTTCTTTTTAACTAAAAAAGCAAAAAAACATAAGAACAGTTAATTGTACTATAGGTATTAAAATCCATTCTGTCCACTCCTTAGATCTGGTGCTAGCATCTAATTGTGTCAGGTGATGTTCAGCTCATTGTCAATCCACACGTGCCCGGCAACCACAGCCCTGGTTCCCTTCACATAGCCTTCAGCCCTTTTGATGTATGGGCAACTCGGGACCTTTGGAAAGCTTAGTTCATGTTCCAGTTGTTTTTTCTCAGGGGCTAGGACCACAACTATCTTTTTAGTTTTTTTATTTTTTATTTTTTTCCTATTTTAGAATATTATGGGGTTACAAACATTTTGGTTACATGTTATGATTTTGCCTCACCCAAGCCAGGATTAGAGGCTTGCCCTTCCTCCATACAATACTCGTGGCATCCATTAGTTGTCATTTTATCCACCCCCACCCTCCCAACTACCTATGAATATTACTACCATGTGAGCACCTTGGTGTTGATCACTTAGTGCCAATTTGATGGCGAGTACATGTAAAGCCTATTCTTCCATTCTTGTGATACCTCACTTTGGAGGACAGGCTCAAGCTCTATCCAGGATAATATAAGAGGTGCTAGATCACCATTGTTTTTTGTAATTGAGTAGCATTCCATTGTATACATATACCATATTTTATTAATCCACTTATGGATTGAAGGGCACTTGGGTTGTTTCCACATCCTTGCAATAGTGAATTGTGCTGTCATAAACATTCAAGTGCAGATGTCTTTATCACAGAATGTCTTTTGTTCCTTTGGGTAGATGCCTAGTAGTGCTATTGCTGGATCAAACGGTATTTCTGTTTTTAGCTCATTGAGGTATCTCCAAATTATTTTCCACAGAGGTTGTACTAATTCACAGTCCCACCAGCAGTGTAAGAATGTTCCTATCTCTACATCCTCGCCAGCATTTGTTGTTTTGGGACTTTTTGATAAAGGCCAGTCTCACTGGTGGTACCTCATTGTGGTTTTGATTTGCATTTCCCTAATGACTAGAGATGTTGAGCATGTTTTTATATGTTTGCTGGCCATTATTCTGTCTTCCTTTGAAAAGTTTCTGTTCATGTCCTGACTGACTATCTTTTTAATTCGATAGGACTTGTCACCAACTGAAGAGGAAGAGCCAGAGCCTCCTTTTGGGGTGGGTGGCATGGACAGCATTTCTGAGAGCACTGGCAGCATCCTCAGCAAGCTTGACTGGAATGCCATTGAAGACATGGTGGCCACTGTGTAGAACAAGAGCCTGAGTGTCCGCTGTGCCCTGGACCTGTAAGACCTGGATATCATTCTGTTTCCAAGCACAGGCCAGCACCTCAGTAATGTGGTTCTGAAAGATTTGTGGGTTTGAGAGAGAGAAGCAATGGGAATTTACCACCTGTAGCCACATTATTACCTGGATTAGCCATTTTAAGAGGGAAAATAAAC